AAAACTATTACATTCCCGAAGCAATTACATTATTGTATAAAAATAATACGCGTGCTAGAAAATTAAATCGGAGTGTCTTAGGGTTTTGACCCTTTTTTTATTAAATAAAGCATTTTTTTTTAATTAAAAATTAAGTCTAAGTTAATAATTGAATTAATTAATTAAATGAAAATATTTTTGGGTTTTATTTATAATTAAGGAAATAAAATAAAAAGTTAAAAAATCCTAATTCTAAATTGATTTTAATTTATTGCAAAAGATATTAATTTTAAACCTATTTAAACTAAATAAATTAATTAATGTTTATTTACAAAAATAAATAATGAAATTAATGGAATTAATAAAAATATTATTTTTTTGGTTTTTCTGATTTTATGAAAAAAAAGGTTAATTGGTTAATTTTTAATAATAATAATACTTAACAAAATAAATAAATAAATAAAGAAAAAGATATAGAAATTAAAAGAAATACTCAGGGGGGTATGGGCCTGATCTGAGTGTATGATCAACAGTCTTTAAGGCCCAGTACGCCCAGCCTTGTTTGACTTTGGTGATTCAATGCGTGCTTGTTGACCAGGGACCACAGTGAACCTTCAATCTGGATTGTTGGATCTGCCTTGAAGGATATCTGGTAGGTGGATCTTTGAGGAGCATGATAGACCATCTTTTGAGAATTGCATAGGAATACCTGAAGAAAAATCAAATAAAGCGTTTTGGGGGACCTGGGATTCGAACCCAGGTCCCAAGGGGTTTTTCAATAGTGCCTCCACCAACTGAGCTGACTTGTTTTTTTGTTAATGGGATAAGTATTAATTATTATATGAGATCAATAAGTGAAATGCTGGAAAACATAAAAATATGGCGCGCTATTCAAACGCACCAATCTGGCCACGCCACGCTATCATCCCTGTCATTGGGACTGTGGCTAAAATTCCTTTTACCTATACCAACGGACGACTGTCCGTAGCTATATGTCATGTTGTCTCAAAATCCACCACGAGCCACCAAAATGAAAACTAAAGGCGTAGTTCTACTCGCCTCTCCGTCCTGGTTCCAATCATGGTCCTTTTATTGACCAATTTTCTCTGTAACGAAAACCCCTGAAAGAACCCTAAAACAATCTACAATGGCATTTTGTGATATATGGCATGATAATGAAATTTACTAATGCAGAAATTTCGTAAATGATGTAAGGAATTCAAATATGCAATTATCTCAAAGAATGGATGCAAGACTGAAGCTTTACGATTCCATGAGCATGGCGGTTTTGAGCGACACTTACAGGGCTTTTGGAGGCAGGAGAACGCGTGACTATGATTGGCACTGCTTCAGTGAAGTGCAAGGAAGCGATTGGGACCTTTATTTGATCCTGAAAAGGCCTCTAAGAACGATTTCAGATCCAAGGTTTTCAAGCTTTTTCCTCAATTTCTTCTGGCCGTTTCTGCAATGCTTTGTGCGTGTTCTTGCTATGCTTGGCTTGTGTGTACATAAAGGAATGTATTTAGGTCAAAACTTGGGCCTTAGTCCATATGCATTGAAGATGGAAGATTTGATTTTGATCACCATTATCAAGTTTCCAAATATAGGCCAAATCTGATTTTTTATGCATGAAAAGCCTTGATACGAATTTGATTTGATGAATCATGATAATTGAAAGCTACAATGATCAAAAAGATATCATTCCATTCATTTTTGGATTTTATTTGATTTAATATTGATTAAAAATGAATTAAATAAATAAAAATTACATAAAATAGAAAAATAAATGATTGGTCATGAAATTAAGGATGGGACACGTGTGTGGCATGACAAGACCAAATCAAGTGGAAAAAAGTGGGCCCTTTTGTCAAAAATTGGAGTTTTGAGGATAGTTGACTTTTGGCCATTTTGGAAAAATGCCCAACTTCAACAATGCATAACTTCTTCAATTTTGAACTTTTGGAGGTGTTCTTGGAATTTTTAGAAACCTTGAGATGTCCTATAACTAAAATTTTTTGTCTCATCTCATTTTGATATTCCATGCTCAAGCTATAAGCTTTGACAAAAAAGGTGTTTTTGTTGACTTTCAAAAATGACCTATAATGTCCAAATTTGTAACTTCTTGTGAGTGCATTTCTTGATCTTGGGGTGTGAAGATGGATTGTAGGAAATTTCATCCTCTTCAAAATTAGATTTGGATGGGTCATTTATCATAAAGTATGAGAAAGTTATGCTTGGTCAAAGTTGAGTTGACTTTTCCTACAAAACCCTAATTTAGCAACTTTTGAATCTTGAGCAATCCTTGATGAATCATGATCAACCCTTGATCAAATGATGAATTATCCTTCCAAATGAGAATGTTGATAAAAAAATCTTGAGGTTTGACTGTATTTAGGTCACAGTTGACTTTTGCCCTAGCACAGTCGAATTTTGGACCTCTTGAGCAATTGACTGACCAAACTTCTCTGCAAGGCTTGAAATTTGACATGAATGAACTTAAGAACATATTAGGACATTGGGGAGCATTTGATATTATTTGGAGGTAAGGACCTTGATGCAACACAAAACCCTAATTTTGAATTGATTGCCTTAGGAGGTGATTTGACTGTCCAACTCTTGGGCCATCTTGAACAACTTGGAGATGATTCTTGACCTATCTTGAGAAATATGGGAGGGAAAATTTTGGGGTACAACACAAGCGTATCCGCATATCGCATAATAAAGTTGCATAAGATTTAAATCTTAACAAAGCAAAGGTGAATCATGAATTTCGAATAATCGGATAACCACGAATTAATTCCTAAAAATCAAAATAAGAAAAATCTAACAAATTTTACTGGTTTTTATTATTTTTATTTTGTGAAGAAAATTAAAACAAGTCTAAACTATAATCAAAATTAAAATAAATAAATAAATTGCAAATAGCAAAAAAAAGTCCAGGAGGTGCAAGCAGAATGCAGGGGTGGCAGGCTGAAGTAGCATGAGTGCTGCAGGCCCATTTGAATAAAGTCCAAATCATCTTTTTTTGTACAAGGCTTGTTGGCTCAAAAAACGCAATGGGCCTTGAGGGGTGCATAAACAGAATGAGGCGCTGAAGGAATCTGGGCACTAGGCCCATCAACCACAAGGTCCATGAAGCAGTTTTTGTATCTCTTCTGCGTAACAAAAAGAACCAGGAATGAGCCTAAGGAATGAGCTTATCGGTCCAGTCCACTACCAATCCTTCTCCATCATTCAAGATAACATGGTTAATACTCAACATATTAATATTATCATATTTTTGTTAATCAAAGGAAACAAAATAACATTAACAAAATAAACAGATGGATAAACATTGCATTTTTAAGAAGAAGTTAGGGTTGAAGTAGAGTGACGCTTAGTTTTAAGTTCTCTTATCCATCTCCTCCCACACAGAAATGGCGCGGCATGACTTATTTATCGTTCCCCGCCTCTCTCAGTTTGATTTCACCTCCATCAATGGTTGTTTCATTCGCGACTCAGCCTTCATCTTCGTCTCAATTTTTTAATGCCTCTCCTTTCTCCAGTTCTGCTCAGATTCAACATCCTTGCAATTCCGGTTCATCCTCGAATGCTCATGCCTCAGTCACAGCCGCAAAGCCGAAATAAAGAAAGAATAAACGCGAAGAAGATGATAGTGAAATACCTTACTGAATGGGTAACATCTGGCAGCTCTCCGACACCATTCGAGAAAACCAGGGATAAATCATGTAATTGATATTACTTCTGTGATTCACTTCTCTTTCTGCAATTCTTCTTTGTGTCTTCTGCGAATCTGAACTTTGATGTGCGTTGAAATTATTCTGGATGTAGATTATTGTGATGATGCTGAGATGAAGAAGATGCAATTACAGAGATTTCAGAGGGGATAAATATGATGAACTTGCAGAGAAATTCAGAGAGAATTCAAAGGAAGTTGCAGAGAATTTGAGACTGGTGAGTTTTCTTATAGTTTATGTAAATCTCTGTTGAATAATTATATGTGAATCGTCTACTTTTTTATGAAGGAATGGTAATTTGCAGAGAAAGATGAATGTGAGGGATGAGGAATTGAGAGAGAGGGAGAAAGTTTTCTTTGGAGATTTCGTCACTCTAACCAAATGATTGAAGAATGTTGATGATGAAGTAGAGGAAATTGAGAGGATTTGATGGTGATCCTTCTGCAGAAGTGAAGAATGAGGACAACTGAAGATGTAGAAGAAGATATCAATCAAGGTTGAGATAGATTGATGATGGAAGAAGCAGAAGTTGAAAAATGGATCCAGGCGGATGAAGATTCAAGATGCGAAAGTGAAGATTCCAGGAAAATTGTGAATAAATGATGGTTGAAGGAAGAGAAAAAGTAGAGAGGTCTGTTTCTGACTTTTGTGAATTTTTCTATTATGAATGAATCTCCCCCTTTGAATAATGATCCTCTCCTTGCAATCTGTTAACATCTTATACAATTAGTTTGTTGGGATTTCTAAGAAGTTTGTTAGTTGTGTAGAAAGTTGGTTAAAGGTTTGTTATGAAATTCTGTTAGAAAGGGTGAGAGGGGTTATGGTTTGGAAGTTAGTTACAGAATTCTGTTTTGATTCTATTTTTGACAGTTAGAGGGTTGATGGTTTGGTGTTGTGCAAATGGTTAAGCTGGTGAGGGAATTAGTTGTTTTTTGTTTTGGTTTTGGTTAGAAACTTGTTATACAGTGAGAGTTAGTTAGAAAACTGTTAGAAGTTAGTTATAATAATTGGGATTTGGTTAGGGGTATTAACATGAATTGGTCATTTGCTACTGTTACTTAGAAGTAGTAAGTGAAGGTAGGAACTGTTAGGTTAATAGTTAGTATGGGTAGTTTGTTAAATGTTGGTTAGTTAGAAACTGGTTTTGTTTTGCATCAATCTGTATGTGTGGACTGAAATGTACCTTCTTTCTTTCTGTGTTTAACTTCACCAAAAAATTCTTATAGCTCAGGGACTTTCCAAATAAGCTCTACGAATATCCTCTGATTCAACCGTAATCGGACTTTATAAATGCGATACATGAAGCTGCTCCAAACGTACTTTTATCGTTTTCTCAAATTGCATGTCCTGTGGATTCTGCGCGTAGGCTACATAGTAAGCTGAAACAGATGCTTGTGGCCATGCAATTGCCAACCTACAAATGAAATAGCCAATGATGAAAGCATATATGGATAGTTCCATGGCATAGTCTTTGTACACTATAAGACTCCAAATTCCACTCACAAGACAACAAATTGCAGCTACTGCAACACCACTCAGGAAACAAAATGCACCAGTGAGATCCAAATGTATCAGTTCCTGTAATCCAACTTTCATGAACATCTCCCAAGTATCAGAAGAAGCTTGCACAAATGCTTTGTTATAAACTCCAACATACACAAAACCCCATCTATTTTCACAACTCACAAGAAGCGCTGTGAGTCCCATCGCGCATGAATCGCATGAAAACATGCAATCACCATCTTTACCTCCAAGGAGATGTTGTGATCGCGCGAAGCCTCGAAAGAATACAATAACCGGGACGAGGATAGAATCTAGAGAAACACTTCCTATTAAGTGTTTGATTGTGTCGCAAAACGCATTTCCAATCTTCATGTCTCTATGATCGATAAAAAAAAATACTTGACCCTTGAAACTGTGACTTGCATTGCATTCTTCATAACCTGTTGTAAGTTAACAAGTTACTCATCATGCTGTTTCTTTTTTACATCTATGCAGGTTGTGACAAGCATGAAGCGTCTTTTCAGTTTGGTTACGAGTTTGTGAATCTCGAGCTAAGGGTCATGGCTTGAAGGAAAAGGCATAGTTAACTCGGACTTTGAGCAAAGAACTTGAAGATAGAGGCACGTGCATTATGAAAGTTTGATCGTCTTTGCCATGGATCGAAACAGGTACGAACCAATTTAACCAATTTGCTTCATAATTAATTTGGAAACCAGTTTGTCTGCATGTATATTTATGTAAAACTATTTGGTTAATTTACAAGGTATAACTTATGATTATAAGAAGGCTTAAAATTGGAGTTCAAGGAAAATTCAAGAAGATGGCATGAGAGATTGAATATGGCCTGAAAGAGAATTTTGAAGATGGTTATTTGGCATGAACATGGAAACATGAAGATATTAGGATATTAAGATTTTAGAACAAAAGTTTGTGTAGTATTTTTGTATGATGTTTAGACAAGCTAATCATGGTTTTTGTAAATTGGATGTATGGTTTTTTATGATGTTTAGACATTGTAAAATTTGAATAATGAATGTTAAACTTGGAATTTGGAATTTGGAATTTGAACTTGGAATTTTGAATCTTGAACCAATTGAAACTTGTGATTTTGCATTATGGTCACTTGAGAGGTGAATGAAATTTGGATTTGCAATCTTGAAATTTGAAATAGCCTTGAATAATTCTTGAATCCCCTTGTACATGCATGAACTTGATATTTGCTCTAAATTCTAAATAACTTGTTTCTCAAGAAATCCCGCATGAATCCTTTTCTAACCTTGCATGCTTGGTAAATGAACTTTAATCCAATTTTTGAACAAAACTTGAGTTCGCATGATATTTCTCTTGAAATAATCTAAAGCAAACTCCGTGATCAGAATTCCACCTTCTTGAATGAACCCTAAAGTAAATGACTTATATCATAAGCCATGAAGCGAGTCCAATCTCCAATTGGTGACTATGAACCAAATGGTCCCTAACATCACCCTCTGTCCTTCGTGAGAGAATGGATCCAACACGTTAAACCCCATCAACCTTGTATAACAAACAATAAGAGAACTAAACTGCCTTGGTCTTAATGAATTTACAATGCCATCCTTATATCACGCCTTATCATCTCATGAACCTCCATTGGAGATGTTGATAAACCTAAGTATGATAGGATATAAATCCTAAACTTCCATACAAAGCTTTTAGATTTTGATCTTCAAAGCATTGAAATGAAATCCGAACAACATAGATTATATCGCAAGTAAGCCAATCGACCAGATGAAGAGCTTTGCATTATAAGGCATACGAACCCTGATTCGTGAAGAAGGTCCAACTGAATCTTCTTTTCTAGAATAGAGTTGTTGCTCACATGACTAGAGATTTAAGCAATGATTTCCTTCTTATTTTTCAAAGATATATCAATTGAAACCCTGGTTATTCATGGACGATATCCCCTGATGATAGCCTTTCCTGATAATCACAACTTCCCAGAGAAACCTCTCTTGAATGGTACATGATTTAGAGAAATAAACCCTAATCAAGGGATGACGTTGAGCACAAGGAGATAATGAATGCCTAATTTAGTAGCCCTTTAGATGATCTAGTAGAACAACTTGGAAATGAACATGGGGATACAGAAAGAAATATGACCAAGTTGGCCATGACTTAGAAAACCTAATGAACCTCGGTTGATGAAATGCTGACAAGCACAAACTTGGTGGAGAAACACTCTGACTCTTATCTTGAACGTATCTGAATGAGTAATAACCCCCTTAACTTAAAGAGAACAGAACCCTCAATAAACATAGGTTGCAATCCTAATTCCACATTACACTGCTTGAAGGATGATCAAAAGAATCAGGCTTTATTGGACACGAACACCTTAACCGTTGCGAAACTCTAATATCGCACAACCGCTGAACTTTGAACCTCAAGCCCTTTATTGAATGAAAATGTATGTTAATGACCTAATGAAAAGATATGAATGCAATGCTAAGCCTAAGCTAAATATAAGAAACTAGGAGGGAAAATTTTGGGGTGCAATAGCTGCCCCTATTTATTCGCCTTAGACCTGAAGGTGAGATTGGCGCCAGCCTTTCGAACCTTCAAGGTAAAAGAAGATTAAATACTTAAAAGAACCCGAAAATTTGCGCTCTGAAGCCAATAAGGTATTATTATACTTTTTTTCATTTTTCCTATTTTATATTTTTAATATATTTTTTTTGCTTTTTGGATTACAGTAGTAAGCTGAGTAAATCTCTTGGATGCCAGGTCAGTGTTAGACATAAAAAAGAAAGAGACCGACCGAAGGAGGCTCTGACGAAGGAACACCAATCGAGGGCGAACTTACTGAGAAAAGAGACCAAACGAATGGGACTCCTGACAAATGATACCAACCGAAGGTGGATTTTAAGAGGAAAGAACACCGATCAAGGGCGAACTTACAACTGAAAAGAGACCAAACGAATGGGACTCCTGACAAATGATACCAACCGAAGGTGGATTTTAAGAGGAAAGAACACCGATCAAGGGCGAACTTACAACTGAAAAGAGACCAAACAAATGAGACTCCTGACAAATGATACCAACCGAAGGTGTATTTTAAGAGGAAAGAACATCGATCAAGGGTGAACTTACAACTGAAAAGAGACCAGTCGAAGGGGACTCTGACAAATGATACCAGCCGAAGGTGGATTTTAAGAGGAAAGAACACCGATCAAGGGTGAACTTACAACTGAAAAGAGACCAAACGAATGGGACTCCTGACAAATGATACCAACCGAAGGTGGATTTTAAGAGGAAAGAACATCGATCAAGGGAGAACTTACAACTGAAAAGAGACCAACCGAAGGGGACTCTCAACAAATGATACCAGCCAAAGGTGGATTTTAAGGATGCCAGCCGAAGGTGGACTTTAAGGGCGAAGAAACCAGCCGAAGGGGAATCTTCATCAAGGAATAATATGCCGAAGGTAGATTCCTAAGAAAAGAACGCCAATCAAAGGCTAACTTACAACTGAAAAGAGACCAGGCGAAGGGGACTCTCAACAAATGATACCAGCCGAAGGTGGATTTTAAGGATGCCAGCCGAAGGTGGACTTTAAGGGTGAAGAAACTAGCCGAAGGGGAATCTTCATCAAGGAATACTATGCCGAAGGTAGATTCCTAAGAAAAGAACGCCAATCAAAGGCAAACTTACAACTGAAAAGAGACCAACCGAAGGGGACTCTCAACAAATGATACCAGCCGAAGATGGATTTTAAGGATGCCAGCCGAAGGTGGACTTTAAGGATGCCAGCCGAAGGTGGACTTTAAGGGCGAAGAAACCAGCCGAAGGGGAATCTTCATCAAGGAATACTATGCTGAAGGTAGATTCCTAAGAAAAGAACGCCAATCAAAGGCGAACTTACAACTGAAAAGAGACCAGCCGAAGGGGACTCTAAATAAAAGGTACCAGCCGAAGGTGGATTTAAAGGATAAAGGTATGCATATCTGGTCAGAGTTAGACACACAAGAGCGAAATTGAGCATCAAGAAACAAATGTTTAGAGTTGATGGTGAGCACAGGAACGAGACTAACTGAAGAAAGCCCCAACAAAAAGGACGCATTCGCCTAAATAAGGACGCCAGACAACTGGACTTTGAAGAGACACTGAAGGACTCTTAACATAAAGGGCTAGATAAGCTAACGAAAGGAGGACCCGACTAACGCGGATAAACCAAAATAAGGAACCGACTAAGCAGGACCTTTAAAGAGCACCGATCGAAGGTGAACTCTACAAGAGAAAGAGACTGGTCAAAGCAGACTCTAACAAAGATTTCCAAAACACATTGGGCTTTCGATAGGTTACAAATATGCAAGAACTACAAAATCCCTCAGGCCAAAGGCGGGGTGTAATTCTTCAAAAGTGGCAATTATCTGAATTACCACACACCAAGTATGGATACTCAAACACTTGCGAAGCAAGAAAGGTTATACACCAACTCTCACTCACACTCTAACGGCAAAGCAAACACGGGTAAAATAACCAAAGGCTTGCAAAGGCAAGCGCAAACCACAAACTTACTGGGGAAATGGAGAAATACCAAAGACTCGATTGGTGGTGAATCAAAACAAACTCTGTTGGGGAAACATAATAGAATTACCCTAGGCTTATTATGGAGATAAATCAAATCTGAGCGCATGACAATCTGGTTGCCCCATGTGGACATAATTGGCTTATACTCATGCATGTTTGAATTTTTTATAGTGTAATGCTCCATAAAATGGAAATGCTACGCATTTTAGTAGATGCAATCTAATGATGCATGTTTAATAATGCACTGGAGAACATATCAATAATCGGATGCTAAGACAATGAACTTTCGAATGATTATTCTTGTACATCTGATCTTCTAGTAGAGAAAATAAAATATGAACTTCCATGGGGCACCGAGACTCGGAACCACCAAACTCTAAAGATTGATATCATTGAGGAAGTAACTTCTTGGGGAGAATACTACAAACGTAAATTGCAATTCAGAGAAAATCTTGAATTCTGATCAAAACCCTCAACTTCTTGGGGATTAATTCTTTATCCTCTATTGGAAAGAGGAAAGCTTTGCTGGGAATGTAAACTTCTGGAATAGAAATTCTTGACGAAGATAACTTCTGTTGGGGAGTATAGAAATTCTTAAAATAAAAGAATTCTACTCAGACCACACTGGGGATAACATCGCTGGGAGATAAAAGATCCTCACTTGGGGAAGAAACAAACATCCCAGGATAGAAACTCCACTAGGGATATCTCAACAAAATTTTCTACCACTGGTAATGAAAGAGTTATGATTGGAATTCTCCTGTACACCTCACTTGAGAGATAGGACACTTTCTCCATTAGGAAAA